AACAACAAAACAAAGACAGTAAAACACAACATGCAGAGTTAAAATAACATGGAATTAAGTACATTTGCGACCTCATCCACGCACAAGGTACAAATAAATACTTTAGATTAGATTAGATTAGATTAGATTTACAAAGTCAGAACAATGCAATGAAATGCAGTTTAGCGTCTAACCAGTGCAACAGTGTAAGTATAGGATAATATTTACAACACAGACACATATATTTGCATGTGTGAGAGACTGTACAAGCTGCTATGGCTAGTTTATACATGAATTATATTATTTTACAATGTTCAGCGTTCAGATTTTGTTTCAGTCTCTCTCCACACGGTGATGACGGAACACACTGGACCATCAAAGCCTCTGACCAAACACCATCCATTCACACGCCTGTTACATTCAGATCCTGCGCAGACATCGGGAGAACATGCAAACTCCACTCAGAAAGGCACTGTTCCGACCGGGATTCGAACCCAGGACCTTCTTGCTGAGAAGCGAGAGTGCCGCTCAGGAAGAGGATGGGAAGTAGCTCATCACCAGCAGCTTCACCGTCTCTGCTGCTGTAGCCCGGTCTTATCCATCCGTACACTGCGGTCAATAATCATTTCCTGCATGTAACGTCTGAGTCTGGTCCCTGTGTTTGCGATTGGTTGAATTCCATCCGACCAATCAGAGAGCGCGGGAGGCGGGTGTTGTAGTTAGATGTGGGTGACGTCAAGAGTTTGCGTTGAACTTGCAGGTTGTAGTTTGGCGAAGAATGCCATAGTAAAGTATTCTGTTCTGGTTCTATCAAAAAACTGAAGCCGAAGCAAGAGGAATGTTCATCAAATGTAATCGCTGCAAAGATTGTGGCTCTACTCCCCACGGGCTCCGTTAGCGGCAAAGGAGATGGCTAAAGCTAGGCTAAATGCTACATGCTAACGACTCACTCACTCGCATTACATTTGTCACAGTAAACTCAGATCCAATGGTTTCAATCTGCAAAAGAAGTTAACCCCTCCCACCTGTTAACGGAGTCAATGGAGCAAATCCAGACCTTAGTATGAAATGTAATGTGTACTATGGTGTGGTAAGACCAGGATACTGCTGCTGTGATACTTTATTGATCCCACGTAGGAGAATAGCAGGTGTCCAGCAGCAGAAAACACATACAGGTCTGTTGTACAGTCTCTTAAAACGTTATTACTAATATTATTATTAACGTTCATTACTACTGCTAGTCGTTAGTCAGCGACAGGGGCTCAGTTCATTGATCTTTGAACCTAATGGTTGTAGGTTTGATCCCCCCATGACCATTGTTACCTACTCCCACTGATCTATCTATCTATCTATCTATCTATCTATCTATCTATCTATCATCAACGTATCTATCTATCTATCTATCTCTATCTATCTATCTATCTACTGTCTCTCCCAATCTCTATCTCTCTCTCTCTTTGTCTCTATCTCTCTCTCTCTCTGTCTCCCTCCATCCATCCATCTATCCATCTATCTATCTACTTATCTACCGTGTCTACCTCCACAAAACCCTTTTGGACTTTGTGACAAATTCTGTTTTGAACGAGACCAGAACCTTGTGATTCCGCCGTTGTCTTCCTCCAGTGAAATGGAAGCTAACCCCCCTCGAACCCATGCTCTCACTCCCAGAATATTTGCCTGGGGTGCTCATCAGGACAGAGAGGAGACGGAGGAGCCCACGTGTTTCTCTTGGCCGCGGACCCCATTCTTCATCCGCCCCCTTCTCCTCTCCTCCTCTTCCTCCCTTTTGACTTGTTTTCATACTGCTGGCGAAAGCTGAATGACCATTCATGCTCCGCTGCGGCCGGTTATGGATGTTTGTGAGAGAGAGTCCAAAAAGGCAGTGACGTCCTCTCATCTCGGAGTCTGCCAAGTGCCAAGCCGAGCCAAGCCGAGCCAGGCCTCCCTCTGGATCCCACTTAAACCAACATTAGGCCACTCCGATGACAGTCTCCGCAGTCTCCGGGAGATCTCTGGAGGTCTGGTGTCGCAGCAGTGAGGTTGAGTCAGAGGGGATTACTCCATGACAAATTTATGACTCCAAATGGCTCCAATTTGCCAGAGTTTATTGGAGGAAAACTCAAATGAAATATGAGCAGAAGACAGAGGCCGAGAGGGAGCTGTGTCCAGAACGCACTTGTCCACCTCCGATACACACGTCTGCGGGATATGGGAGAGTTGTCACCATTGTTGGTATTAATTGTTGCTGCAATGTAAATGTCCTTGTTTCCCGTGGTAACGCCATCATTAACACTGTTATCTACTAATCAACTTTTTATTAAACATAGCATGCTAAAATTGTCAAGTTAAAAATTCTTGAAATCTTATTCTTATTCTTGTGTACAAGTCTCTCCATGGTCTTGCACCAAAATATATTAGTGACATGTTAGTCCCATATGAACCAGCCCGGACTCTGAGGAGCACAGGGACTGGACTCCTGTTAGTGTCCAGAGTCAGGACTAAACATGGGGAGGCTGCTTTTCAGATTCATGCTGCTAAAATCTGGAACAATCTTCCTGAAGATGTGAGACAGGCCTCCTCAATGACAATGTTTAAAACCAAGTTAAAGACAGTTCTGTTTAGCTGTGCATACAACTGAGGGATTTTATATTTTTATCTTTCTTTTTAATGTTCTGTGATTATTTATGATTTGAATGCTTTCTTATTTTGTTCAGCACTTTGAGTTGGCTTGTGTATGAATTGTGCTATATAAATAAACTTGCCTTGTCTATTCAGAGTTGTAAAAAACAAAGACATTCCTGCAGTGTTCAATCTTTCTTCAAAATAAGAGAAAGTCGCTCAAATCTGAGAGGTTTGCTTCAGTTGGAGTAAAAATGTGGAATGATCTTAATGACCAGTTAATTAATACATTATCAATATTTAAAACTACCTAAAAATGTGATCATATACCTTGCCTTAAAAGTAATGATTATAATAATAAAAATATAACAAAGAAAAGTGAAAAAAAATACATTGTTCTAGCGTTTTAAATCAGTAATATGTACTTTAATTGTTTTTGTTTACATTGTTGCAGTGTTTAAGCTGCTTCAGACTAATCCTTTTATGGTTTTAACATAGTCAGTGAATGTAATGTGTTATTCATCAAACAACTGACCAAAAATAAGCATTAATTAATTCATTCATTGGCTGTAAAATAATGCTTAAACACAGTAACAGTGAAGTTGATGGTTTAATCACTGAATGGGGATAAAGGAGTGGGATTAAACATGTTTTTCTTCTTCCCGCTCTTTTTCAGGCAGAATTATACGGCCATGTTTACACCGTGCATTTATTGTTTATACTGTTTTTTGTTTATAGTGTGTCTAGTCTGTTTGTTTTTTGCATTATATGATTAATATTATTTAACTGCATTTAAATACCGTTTATTCACCTGTGCCATTGCCTGAAATGGTCTCTCTCCACTTTCAGCCAGATTTACGGCCATCATTAAAATGTATGGAAACTGGTCATCTGCCCCTTTTAGACCCATCTCTCTATGTGTTTTTATTTTTTAATGTTTTTTTTATTTAAATCATTGCATTGTCGTGTGTTGAAACTGCCTGCTTCCCGGGTCTGTGTCCTCTGAGATAACTGCTGCTGTGATTTTGGGCTGTACCAAATGAATGTGAATTGAGTTGGTTGAAGCTAATCTCCTTTGATGAATGAATGAATGGGGTTAATCAAACAATATAAACATGAAGAACATGTGGGAAGCAAAGCATTAAATTACTATAAAACATGTTTGATTAGATTTTTAAAGTGATATTATTATAACGTTATCTTGTGCTGTGTGCTCCTCATTCCCACTGTTCTGTAACTGTCGATGCAACACTGGCATTTCCCCGCTGTGGGACGACTAACTGATCTCTTCATCTGTTTAGTCCCTCCCCTTTCCATAGCACTGTCACAACAATTCTCCTCCTTCCAGTTCTTCACATTTATAAATAAACTTAATTCCAAGAAGCCGATGGCACAGACTGGTTGCCTCGCTTCTGTCAGTGTGCCCCAGAGCAGCTGTGGCTACAGTAGTTTATTTATGGAGCGAATGAATAATGCCATCTTTGAGTGTCCAAATACGCCCTATATAAAAACGATTATTAAGAATTCAATTTTATTCAAAGTACTGATGTAATGATAAAAAAAGACATAAAACCATTGGTCCATAAGAGACAGAGACCAATGTCTATAAATGTTATTGATGTTGAGTGTCCTGGATCATTCCCACTGCCTCTAACAGCTCTAAAATCCCAGTGAGAGATACTATTTTATTATTATTATTATTAGTATGTACAGACAGTCTCATGATGCAGTCTACAGAGTGACACTGTAAAACATACCTGTATTGAAGCGTGTGAAGTAATCATAGACTGTAAATATAAACGGATGTAGTTTCAAAATGGCCGTGGGGGCTGTAAAATGTGAAAAAACACACATCAGCTGCACGAGCCCCATTCATTTGACGAGTGCTTTCTAAAGTCCACAGCGATTAAACCAGACTGGTCTAAAAGAATTCACCCCCCTCAGCATTGACACACATGTGGGACGGAGCTTTGGACCAAGAACCACTCTTGGACCATCCTGTAAAGACGTTTTTGAGAGGTCAGAAGATTCGTACATTTGCATTGAATAATTCTTGTTCCGGGTCCACCCCCACAGGCCCGGGGTGGTATTGCAAGGATGCCATTTTTGGACATTTTTGAGCTGGGACCCGCCCACACTGGAAGTAATGGATAATTTGACATGGTTTGAATTCATCTGAAAGACTAATCCACAATGTTAATGCCACAAACCTGAACACAACATTTGATACATCTTTTAACCAACGACTCACATTCTTCCCCAAAGGTTACCCTGATCTTGACTGCAAATGCTACCCCCTTTTATGTTCCAAGTATGTCGTCCAGTAAAGCTCCCAAAGTCACAGTAATAGAAATAGATGTACTCGTCTGAGATGTGTCGCCCGCAGGCAAATAGATTAACCTTCATAACGGCTCCTCACATTCAGGGTCCTCGGCTCCACCTCTCGGGGCCGTGTTCCTGTCCCCACACGGCTCCGAAACTCCCTGCTTCCTCCCCGTCCGGCCCCAGCCCCTCCGTGGACGTCCTTCCCACCTTGAACCAGTACGGCACATGGAGACCAGCTCATTCGTCATCAACTCGAACGCACGCGGTGGGAACGACGACCCGATTTCCTCGAGATATGTGCGGCTGAGATCCTCCTGAGATCCAGCGCACTCCCAACCCAACACCACACACCTCATGCAGCCCCCCCCATCCACCTACCCCCCTTCCTCATGTGGCTTCATGAGGCCTGCAATCAGTGTGATGGATTTCAGCTCTGACACTTTCTCCCCTGCGGCACAATTAGGAAAATAACGGGGCGAGAGGTGGTGTGGAAGGAAGAGAGGAGCGAGTGTCTTCAGGTGGTTTAGAATGTAGAGCAGGGGTGTCCAAACTTTTTATGACCGCTGCCCTTTGGCAACGCACTCTCTGCTTGTAATTCAGATGTGTAGATTACTCCGTAGGTATAGTTCCGGCCACTTCGGAGCTAGTCACGCTCAATAAACGCAAATGCCAATCAATCAACACATTTAAATGTTAATGGGAGAATACATTATACACATACATCCTTAATACACAGAGGTTTTCAGAAGTATCTGTTAAGGTTTTCATGACAAAAATACTGTTTTAATGCAAGAAAAAGAGGTCGCGAAAAACCCAGAAGTGGATTTTGGGACTTAATTTGGGACTCGAATTATGGATTTAGGTTAAGTTTATGTTTGGGTCACTCACCGCTGATGTTCAGAATTCTTTGTTCGGTTTCCATGCAGTTCCAGAGAGTTCTAGTTTGGAAGTTACTAGCCTAACTGTTACTAGCCTAACTGTTGCTAGCCTAACTGTTGCTAGCCTAACTGTTGCTAGCCTAACTGTTGCTAGCCTAACTGTTACTAGCCTAACTGTTACTAGCCTAACTGTTACTAGCCTAACTGTTGCTAGCCTAACTGTTACTAGCCTAACTGTTGCTAGCCTAACTGTTACTAGCCTAACTGTTGCTAGCCTAACTGTTTCTAGCCTGACTGTTACTAGCCTGACTGTTACTAGCCTAACTGTTACTAGCCTAACTGTTACTAGCCTAACTGTTACTAGCCTAACTGTTACTAGCCTAACTGTTACTAGCCTAACTGTTGCTAGCCTAACTGTTACTAGCCTAACTGTTGCTAGCCTAACTGTTACTAGCCTAACTGTTACTAGCCTAACTGTTACTAGCCTAACTGTTACTAGCCTAACTGTTACTAGCCTAACTGTTGCTAGCCTAACTGTTACTAGCCTAACTGTTGCTAGCCTAACTGTTACTAGCCTAACTGTTGCTAGCCTAACTGTTACTAGCCTAACTGTTACTAGCCTAACTGTTACTAGCCTAACTGTTACTAGCCTAACTGTTGCTAGCCTAACTTTTACTAGCCTAACTGTTGCTAGCCTAACTGTTACTAGCCTAACTGTTACTAGCCTAACTGTTGCTAGCCTAACTGTTACTAGCCTAACTGTTACTAGCCTAACTGTTACTAGCCTAACTGTTACTAGCCTAACTGTTGCTAGCCTAACTGTTACTAGCCTAACTGTTGCTAGCCTAACTGTTACTAGCCTAACTGTTGCTAGCCTAACTGTTACTAGCCTAACTGTTGCTAGCCTAACTGTTACTAGCCTAACTGTTACTAGCCTAACTGTTACTAGCCTAACTGTTACTAGCCTAACTGTTACTAGCCTAACTGTTACTAGCCTAACTGTTACTAGCCTAACTGTTGCTAGCCTAACTTTTACTAGCCTAACTGTTGCTAGCCTAACTGTTACTAGCCTAACTGTTACTAGCCTAACTGTTGCTAGCCTAACTGTTACTAGCCTAACTGTTACTAGCCTAACTGTTACTAGCCTAACTGTACTAGCCTAACTGTCACTAGCCTAACTGTTACTAGCCTAACTGTTACTAGCCTAACTGTAACTAGCCTAACTGTTACTAGCCTAACTGTTACTAGCCTAACTGTTACTAGCCTAACTGTTGCTAGCCTAACTGTTACTAGCCTAACTGTTGCTAGCCTAACTGTTACTAGCCTAACTGTTACTAGCCTAACTGTTACTAGCCTAACTGTTACTAGCCTAACTGTTACTAGCCTAACTGTTGCTAGCCTAACTGTTACTAGCCTAACTGTTGCTAGCCTAACTGTTACTAGCCTAACTGTTGCTAGCCTAACTGTTACTAGCCTAACTGTTACTAGCCTAACTGTTACTAGCCTAACTGTTACTAGCCTAACTGTTGCTAGCCTAACTTTTACTAGCCTAACTGTTGCTAGCCTAACTGTTACTAGCCTAACTGTTACTAGCCTAACTGTTGCTAGCCTAACTGTTACTAGCCTAACTGTTACTAGCCTAACTGTTACTAGCCTAACTGTTACTAGCCTAACTGTTACTAGCCTAACGTTGCTAGCCTAACTGTTACTAGCCTAACTGTTGCTAGCCTAACTGTTACTAGCCTAACTGTTGCTAGCCTAACTGTTACTAGCCTAACTGTTGCTAGCCTAACTGTTACTAGCCTAACTGTTACTAGCCTAACTGTTACTAGCCTAACTGTTACTAGCCTAACTGTTACTAGCCTAACTGTTACTAGCCTAACTGTTACTAGCCTAACTGTTGCTAGCCTAACTTTTACTAGCCTAACTGTTGCTAGCCTAACTGTTACTAGCCTAACTGTTACTAGCCTAACTGTTGCTAGCCTAACTGTTACTAGCCTAACTGTTACTAGCCTAACTGTTACTAGCCTAACTGTCACTAGCCTAACTGTCACTAGCCTAACTGTTACTAGCCTAACTGTTGCTAGCCTAACTGTAACTAGCCTAACTGTTGCTAGCCTAACTGTTACTAGCCTAACTGTTGCTAGCCTAACTGTTACTAGCCTAACTGTTGCTAGCCTAACTGTTACTAGCCTAACTGTCACTAGCCTAACTATTACTAGCCTAACAGTTACTAGCCTAACTGTTGCTAGCCTAACTGTTACTAGCCTAACTGTTGCTAGCCTAAATGTTACTAGCCTAACTGTTACTAGCCTAACTGTTGCTAGCCTAACTGTTGCTAGCCTAACTGTTACTAGCCTAACTGTAACTAGCCTAACTGTTGCTAGCCTAACTGTTACTAGCCTAACTGTTACTAGCCTAACTGTTGCTAGCCTAACTGTTGCTAGCCTAACTGTTACTCGCATAGGGTTGCCAACAGTCCCTTGAAATACGGAATTGTCCCGTATTATAGAAAAACTATGTGCGTCCCGTATTGAACTGATACGGGACGGCTTTTGTCCCGTATTTTCAGAGCCACCTTAAATGCATCACTCACTCACTGCATGTCACACACACACACACAGTAATGATCACAGTTTAAGCATCTACCTTTCGGCCAATCAGTGTCAAAGGGGCGTAGGCTTGATCACAGACGTTGGTTTAATGTTGACAGGCGCCAGCGTGGGCCGTGCCCGCAGCATCATCACGGCAGAAGTTTGGTAAAGTAGCGTAATTTTCCCAGATTCGGACTTCCGCGGTCAATAGCTCACGAAAGCTACTTCGTTAAACAAAAGTAATTTGCTAAAATGATCACCTCTACGTTGATTTTACAAATTCAATGCGCTGTTTTAATGCAGAGAAATCCTCTGAATCCAATGCACTGCAAGCGCCGAGAAAAGCACTTAGGGACCGTCAACAAATATCCAGACCAGCTTTGTAAACGAACAATAGCTTTTACTGAAGCCACAGTACCTGCACAAAACTCAGACAATATAAATAATGATGACCATGTCGAACTGCTACAGACTTTGATTTGTGAGTTTTTTTAATTAATACATATGTTTTTCTTTTTATTTGCTTTTACAGAAATTGGTCTTTACTGTAACATTCATAAATAATGTATGTTACAGTATTTTTCTTTTTTATATTTTTTTATTACTAATAAGAATGAATTAAGTCCTTAACCAGCCAAAGAGTTCCACCTATTTATTCAATTTCATTTTTGACTAAGGATTTGTTTTTTTTATATGTAGTCAATAAATTACAATCTAAAAACTGTGATTATGAAATTCCATGATTACTAAAAAGTGCTCAACCCGATCCACCCAAATGGTGTCCCTTATTTTTTTTTTCTCAAGTTGGCAACCCTATACTCGCATAGCCACAGGAAAACCTTTGGGAACTATTCTTGTCGTTAAATAAACCTTTTGGCATTCCTAAAAGTGGACTGATGTTTATGTGTTGTGTTCTGTTGGTACAAAGCCGTATAATAAGCAGATAATGTATAGTAGGCAGCGGAAGGGTCAGAAGCAAACCCCTCAGTTGCGTGTCGGGGTCCGCTTCGCCCTGTCAGTACTTATTTTCCGATAATGACCTGCTACTCTACATTATCCCTTACTTATAAAGATTACTTACTTAAATAAATACAGATTACTTATATGTTTACCATCTCACCAGCTACAGTAGCATCAGGAACAAAAGTGCACGTCCGTTCAGTATGTGCCAATGAAGTCAACCACGCACCGGGCTTTGGTACAAGGTCTGTATTGGCTGAGCTGAAGTTGGATGGATGACACAGTGAACTTGTGTTTATGATCTCATAGACTACTTCAGGTTAGCGAGGCAGAGGGCCACATACCATGAACCTCAGGACCAGGAGTTTGGACATGCCTGAGGTAGAGAAACCTCACGCATTAGCATCATAAGCTGTGTTTGTATGTGTTTGGTGAAAGTAACTTTAAAGTAATGCAGTAGTAGTGGAATCCATTACAATTCAGAGACGGTAATAAATACATTTTTGAAGTCCCTGGTCCAACGCTGGTCTTACTGTCGAAGCAGGAGCATGTATCAACGTTCAGAGGAAGTTTAGATTCATTACGGTTTGGAATATGGACACAGGGAAATCCCTATGCACTCTGGGAAAGCGAGAAACCAGAGCTGAAGGCCTGAGCCGTAGGTGGAGACGGTAAAAAAAAAAAAAAGAAAAAGGCGAAGACAGGCAGGAGCAGAACCAAGACAAACCCGCGGACAGAGCGTGGCGTGCGTCTGACAAACGAGCTCGCCGTACCAGCCAGCAGTCCATTCCCGGTGAGAAGTCTGATGGATGCTGCTTGGATCTGAAACTCACCGATCACGTCAGGGCGAGACTTCACAGCTGCGGCTAAACCTTTCAAACTCTCAGTAAATCACCGGGAAACGCATGACACTTTACCAGATGAGCGTCCATGTGTCCCCCGAGGAGAGCGTTCACTGCTAAACGCCTGCACTTTTCTGGAGTGGTTTTAAGAGTGTCATTTTCTCCGGGCTGCACTGAGCGGCCGGGTCGACGGCGTGTGCTCGGAGCCCGCTGTCTGAGAACTGTCTTCAACGATGTGTTTGTCAGTTATTTGAAAAATTGACAACATTCTCAAATTGCGGCTATTTTTCAGACTTGCGAAACAGCTGTATTTAAAGCTGCCATGACCACGTTACAAAAAACTGTAGCTGTTAGCATAGCTGCTTCGTATTACAGCGGTCCACATGAGGTTTTGGTACATGACAAAAGCAGAGAGATGGATAGATAGAGAAAGAGAGAGAGCAGAGAGAAACAGCAACGATAGAGACCAGAGAGAGAGAGAGAGAGATCGATTGAATTGTTTATTTGGTTGGGACAGTACATGTTAACGAACACATCTCTCCAGATTGTAGCTTGGGCTAATTTGCATAATTTGTCCGACAGTCGCCCTGAACTATTGCACATGTTTTTAGTGGAAGGGGAAACCGGAGTACCCGGAGGAAACTTAAGCAGACACGAGGAGAACATGCAAACTTGACTCAGAAAGGTCCTGTTCCGACTGGGATTCGAACCCAGAACCTTCTTGCTGTAAAGTGAGAGTGCTACAGCCATTGTGCCGCCCTGAAAGAGAGAGAGACCAGACAGGAACAGCAATGAGAGAGACCAGAGAGAAAGAGATAGATAAATAGATTGATGGATTAATCAAAAGAGAGACCAGAGAGAGATAGATGCATAGAGAGAGAGAGACCAGAGATAGATAGATACATAAAGAGAGAGAGAGACCAGAGAGAGATAGATAAAGAGAGAGAGACCAGAGAGAGATAGATACATAAAGAGAGAGACCAGAGATAGATAGATACATAAAGAGAGAGAGAAAGACCAGAGATAGATACATAAAGAGAGAGAGACCAGAGATAGATACATAAAGAGAGAGAGAGACCAGAGAGAGAGAAAGAAAGAGAGAGAACAGAGAAAGAGAGAGAGATAGAGCAGAGACAGAGATGGATTGATAGTTTATTTATTCCACATGGGGATATTCAGGTGACCATCAGTAACAGAGAAAACGGGGCTTATTTCCTGCTCTTTCTTTGCTTTCTTTAAAGGCGCTATACCCGTTTCTGCAATGTTTGAATGTTTAGCACCGCCCCCCAACTCGCTCAATGGCTTCTCATTTCCCCTACGCTCTCATCCCACGGAGCCACCTAGTTTTATTTGCGATCGCAACTTGTAAGCTGTGCAACAATCACTGATGAAATGGCACTAAAGCAATGCACTGCTAACACAATATATAAGTAAAAGAATACCATTAGTTTCGCGTCCGGATGTATTAATTTAAACATTAGAATATATTCTAATATTTAATTATAATTTATTATACAGCTCCTCACAGCAGCAGCACTCCATTGACTTGAATGCAATTCTTCCGATCATTTTCTTGATAACAGAACTCTCAAACCAATAATGACCGCAGCCCCAATGCAATCTCTGTTTGTAATTCAGGTGTGTAAAATACTGCCATTACTTTGCAAGTACAACAAGCTATCAGCGCCTGTCACTACATTGTGCAGTTTTTCTGCACACTTGTCTGTGTAGAGAAGCTAGCGGAGCTAGCCACGCTCAATAAACAAATAACGCTACATATCAATCAATCAACACCATTAAACGTCAATCGGACAATACAGTATACATATACATCCTTAACACACATGCACGGACGATTTCAGAATTTGCTGTAAACGTTTTCATGACAAAAATACTGTTTTAAAGTGACAAAAAGCGATCGCGAAAAACCCGGAAGTTACCATGAAACAGCTATCTAGCTTAGCTGTTACCTGCCTAGCACGTCCCGGTGAAACCTTTGGGAGCTAACTATTTTATTTGCAGTCATTAAATACATTTCTAATTATAAGGGTTGTCTAATATTTGTTCAAATATGTATATATTTTTTATTTTAGAATTATATTTGAATTTTGAAGTTGAAGCCCTGGTGTTAAGCAGCGCTGTAGAGGCTAGAGGACGCAGGCTGTTCGCTGCTCGTTCTGTGAGTGGAGGAGAACGAGCGGCCCGCTCAGACTCTACTCAGCACTTTTCACTGCCTGAATTTCATACACAGTGGAATCAATGACCTCAAGTTTTCAATTAAATTATGTATTATGATACAACTTGTATGTAGTAAAAAGCATTTTTATGAACTACTTAGAAAAAAAATCGGGTATAGCTTCTTTAAATCATATAATACTTGTTGGATTCTTGTGTGTGTGTCCCTCAGGCAGCAGCACACACCAGCTCTGATAGATTACCCACAAAATACTTACAATACTTTAAAATAAACGTATAACACAATAAGTAAACGTCGCATTTTCACACGATTCCGGTCGTTTTTTCGTACGTCAGGCGTCCGCTCTGTTGGACGCACAGGGGACACAGATGCAAACAGAACATACACTTACGGCCCCGGCCCCTCACTGTTTATGCGGGTGATGAGTTAACCTCGCTCTATCCATCACTTCAAGGGCCAAACCTACAGGAAGGCTGCGTTTTCCCGGCGTTCCCAGCGTTCCCTCGGTCAGTGAAGCAGTCACTCTCCACGTTAATGGACCAAATGGACGCACCGCTGGCACCAGGCTCTCTCCATCTCCCCCGCGCACTTTATTGCTCCCTCTTTGTTTACTTTTTCTCCTCTGCGAGCCCACTTCCCCTTTTCACATTTCCGTCCGATTGCGTTTTTGAACATTTTGGTCCCGGCTGTGTATAAATTCACTTGTCGTTTACCCTCCAGCTGCTTTTCCGTGCAGAGTGGTACTTTGTATGTCAATGCTTCTGTCAATACGGACAGAGTACGTTTTCCAAGCAGTCCGAAAGTGTGTTTTCTAGCCATGCAAAAGAATGGAATTAAGTTGGCGCTTTCAACATTTCTGGCCAGGCACATTGTTTGACTTGGCGGCTGCACTTATGGTCTGTTGAAACAAGCTCTTTTTTCGTGTCTATAAATGGGGTCTTTTCATAAACGCACCAGGGAACGCTCGCTTTTCGAAGGGATTTGAGAGGATGGTGCCCCGGACTCGGCCAGACCCCCCTGGATTCGGGCCTTGCTTTCACACACTCTATCACTCTGAGGGTAATGTGGAGTGGCGTGTCTGCTGTACGGGGCTCGTCATGGTGTTCATCACGGCTGCTTTCATGAGTGCTGCAGACGGGTACAACTGCGGCCGGGATGAGCGGGTTACCGGGCTGTTTCCTGTCTCCAACATTTGACCGGTGAAGAAGACGAGATGCCGCAGAGACAGAAGAAACAGTCCATCATCCATCTATCCATTCATTTTCTACCCCTTAATCCATTTCTGGGTCTGGGGGGTGGTCAGAGATGCCACCCAGTCCACATAGAAGAAGCAGTGATCGGGGGAAATCGTAAAGTCAAAATTGGAAGTGATTTCTCAGAACATAACAAGATCCTGAACAGATTGTTGCTTCTAGCATGTTTGCACACTTCTGTCTTTTGCACAATCTGAGTGATCCTATCTGTGCCAAAGTGACATGTTCATTTCTCCAGTGTGAGATCAATAAAGTCTATCTTATCTTTTCTTGTCTTTTCTCCCACCAAAGCTTTTGTTCTGACAAGACGCAGACTGATTAATGTGGAGATAAATCTTAGTACTTCAACAGTTGGTAGAGCATTGGCCTTAGAGCCTGAAGGTCGTGGGTTCGAGCCCACCACGAGACCTACTTCACGACTCCCACTGATGTCTGCTGTCGTTGTGTCCTTGAGCAAGACACTTAACCCCACTTTGCCTGAAGCCCCCGCTGAAAGATCAAGGCTTCTGTGGACTCAGCACCTGCAGGAGGATCAGTGAGGGGCTGGTGCTATGTGTACTGGGTGCAGCTCTGACCCCGACCCAGAAATGGATTAAGGGCAAGAAAATGGATGGATGGACTTGTCTTCTACAGTTTAAATGTAAAACGATAATTTTGTTTTTTTATGTTTATGGATTAAATAGTAAAGAAAGCTACTGAGATAGATACACAGAGAAAGGGAGAGAACGGAGATAGACAGACCAGAGAGAAAGATAAAGATGGATAGATTGATACATAGAGAGCGAGACCAGAGAAAGAGAGCAGAGATAGATAGACACATATGTTTGAGGCTTAGAAGGATCTTTTAATAATATACATAAAATATATACATACACATATACATATAAACATATAAAATAATACAAATTAGTTAAGAAAGCTATTGAGCGGTGATTAAAATCAGGAAGTGAGGCGGCCAGACCATCAACAGAGACGAGGGGGCCTTCACCTTGGCTCACACTTGGGATTCACTTTTCCGGAGACCACAGAGGCCGAAGTAAGTAAAGTTTATTTAAATTGCACATGTTACAGACCAAAGCATTTACAATGTTCAGAGTTTGTTTCATTCCTTCTCCACAGACGGTGAAGACTCATACCTGTTGTGCAAGTTTATAGTGGTAGGGGAAACTGGAGCACCTGGAGGAAAGTCTGCAGCTGAGAATGAAACAAACAGGGTGACAATAGCTCAGTTGGTAGAGCATTGATGTCTGCTGTCATTGTGTCCGTGAGCAAGACACTTAACCTCTGGGAACAGCAGGTGCCACAGTGGGGCGGCTGCGGCTGTAAAGTGCCAAACTGCTGTTGTGTCCTAAGGCAAGACACTTCACCCCCATTGCCTAGAATGAATCTGGTGTGTGTGTGAATGGTTGGTGGTGATGAGAGGGGCTGATGGCACAGACCGGTTGCCTCGCTTCTGTCAATGTGTCCCAGGGCAGCTGTGGCCACAATAGTAGTTTATGATCACCGTGTATGGAGTGAATGAATAATATTGTGTGAAGCGTCTGTGAGTGTCCAAAAAAGCGCTGTATAAAACCGATTTATCTTTATTGTTATTATTAAACTCTAAGCATTCTTGGTCTGTAAAAAGCGCTATATAAATAAACCTACAATAAACTATCTATCTATCTCCTCCCCACGCTGCACCGCTGCTGTGGAGTTTGGCCTCCTCTGTGAGTGGATAACACATGTGTTTTTCACTGTTTGTCAAACGAGCGGAGCCAGAGCCTGTTTCCTCTTTTTCTCAAATAACAGAGAAAGTGCAGCTCACAGTGTGCTCTCCTCTCTCTTCCTGCGGTCGCAAGTGTCCAGAGTGACGTCTACACAACCTGATATGGCTACTACACAACCAGATGGGACCGGGTCGAATGTGTCTCTTCACAATCAATTAACCGTTGTCCTCCCAGAGCCAGGTCCACACGGCACACACATACACACACACATACACACACACGACACACACATACACACACACCATACACATATCCACACACACGACACACATATCCACACACACGACACACACATCCACACACGTCACACACATCCACACACACGACACACATACACACACACGACACACACATGCACACACACGACACACATACACACACACGACACACACATCCACACACACGACACACACGACACACACATTCACACACGACACACACATCCACACACATCCACACACACGACACACACATCCACACACACAACACACACATCCACACACACGACACACACACGACACACACATCTACACACGACACACACATCCACACACACAACACACACATCCACACACGACACACACATCCACACACGACACACACATCCACACACACACGACACACACATCCACACACGACACACACATCCACACACGACACACACATCCACACACACGACACACACATCCACACACATACACACACACGAGTCGCACACACATCCACACACACGACACACACATCCACACACACATCCACACACATACACACACACACGAGTCGCACAAACGACACACACATCCACACGCACACATACACACACACATCCACACATATACACACACACGACACACACATCCACACACACATCCACACACATACACACACACACGAGTCGCACAAACGACACACACATCCACACGCACACATACACACACACATCCGCACACATCCACACACACGACACACACATACACACACACATCCGCACACATCCAACACACGACACACACAATACACACACACGACACACACATACACACACATCCACACACACACGACACACACATCCACACACATACACACACATGACACACACATCCACACACACGACACACACACATCCACACACATACACACACATCCACACACACACGACACACACATCCACACACATACACACACATGACACACACATCCACACACACGACACACACATCACACACATACACACACATCCCACACACACACGACACACACATCCACACACATACACACACATGACACACACATCCACACACACGACACACACATCCACACACACACACACACATCCACACACACGACACACGCATTGTCTTCTGTTGTGGTTCAGACGCTGTAAAACTTGGCTCAAGTGTTGAAATGTTGTGATTTGGTTTGACTGCTCTTGTTACCGTGACGTACGAGCAGAAAACCTGGTTCCGTAATCAGAACAAAGAGTTGTTCTGGACGTTCCCACTTCAGCAGCTGACGGGATCAGCAGACGACAAAGAGATTACAAAGAAATGTTGGAGATGTGATGTGAAGAAAGTTGGTTATAAATCCTTCTCTTTGTTTGGAAATGTCAGTTAATTATATCAAATAGGAAAAAACACTGTGAGGTGAAAAGTGAGTTGAGTTTGTGTCATTCAAGTAGAAGACCCGTGGGCAGGTGGAAGAACCGTGGGCAGGTGGAAGACCCGTGGGCAGGTGGAAGACCCGTGGGCAGGTGGAAGAACCGTGGGCAGGTGGAAGACCCGTGGGCAGGTGGAAGACCCGTGGGCAGGTGGAAGACCCGTGGGCAGGTGGGAGACCCATGAGCAGGTGGAAGACCCGTGGGCAGGTGGGAGACCCATGAACAGGTGGAAGACCCGTGGGCAGGTGAAAGACCCGTGGGCAGGTGGGAGACTCGTGGGCAGGTGGAAGACCCGTGGGCAGGTGGAAGACCCGTGGGCAGGTGGGAGACCCATGAGCAGGTGGAAGACCCGTGGGCAGGTGGGAGACCCATGAACAGGTGGAAGACCCGTGGGCAGGTGAAAGACCCGTGGGCAGGTGGGAGAACCGTGGGCAGGTGGGAGACCCGTGGGCAGGTGGGAGACCCATGAGCAGGTGGAAGACCCGTGGGCAGGTGAAAGACCCGTGGGCAGGTGGGAGAACCGTGGGCAGGTGGGAGACTCGTGGGCAGGTGGAAGAACCGTGGGCAGGTGGAAGACCCATGGGCAGGTGGGAGACCCATGAGCAGGTGGAAGACCCGTGGGCAGGTGGGAGACCCATGAACAGGTGGAAGACCCGTGGGCAGGTGAAAGACCCGTGGGCAGGTGGGAGAACCGTGGGCAGGTGGGAGACCCGTGGGCAGGTGGGAGACCCATGAGCAGGTGGAAGACCCGTGGGCAGGTGAAAGACCCGTGGGCAGGTGGGAGAACCGTGGGCAGGTGGGAGACCCGTGGGCAGGTGGGAGACCCATGAGCAGGTGGAAGACCCGTGGGTAGACCGGGAGAAAGGACACTGGGAGCGAGGCTTGTCTGATTTTGCCCCCTATTTTAGGCCCCGTTTATACGGAGGCGCTGCGCAGACGTTGTTATTAACAGAAAGGCTCCTTATGCAAATTTCACAGTGTTCACACGAGGATCAAAAACGATGTAGTTCTAGCGCCGGGACAGTAGGGGGCAGAGAAACTTTATAACACAACACATCCAGCTCCCCCCCCCCCAGCAGTGTACTCACTTCCTCTGCAAGACGTGACCTGCCCACGGGTCTTCCACCTGCCCACGGGTCTTCCACCTGCACCAACATCATTCTTTAACAGCAGCTGTGAGAATGGGAACTGAACCTAGAGCTTTGCGTGGTTTTGTTTGGACGAACGAAGGAGTACAATCCTCCTCCGTGTAGCGTGTGAACCCGCCGCCATTGTTGTTTGTACTTGGCCACTGCGCATGTCCAAATGTACGTGTACATTTGGACATGCGCAGTAGACAATAAACATTAAACAGACGAATAAAAAATATGACATTACCGGCGGCATTACGGGCGGCACGGTGGCTGAGTGGATAGCACTCTCGCCTCTCAGCAAGAAGGTCCTGGGTTCGAATCCCGGTCGGACCAGGGCCTTTCTGAGTGGAGTTTGCATGTTCTCCCCGTGTCTGCGTAGGTTTCCTCCGGGTACTCCGGTTTCCCCTACCACTAAAAACATGTCCAATAGTTCTGGCATGTGCCTCCTGTACTGGCAACCCCGCTCCCATCTGTGTGGAGTGAGAGACAAATGCCCAAAATTAACAATTGTAAACCGCTTTGAGACTCAGATCTGCAGTGAAAAGGCGGTATATAAATAAAAACTTACTTACTTACTTACTACCTATTTTGGCCATGTTTTTAGTCCAGTTTTTAGAGCATAGTTGTCGCTTATTTTTGTTTTTTCATGGATTTCATTTAATCATGTACAAAGTCAGCTGCTTTTATCCTCTGCCACTACATTTAACGGTGATCTTTTCAAACCCTGTCCTCGTGTGACACTTCCAATTAGAGTCTGGATTCTGGTGGAAGGTATTTTGGACCATTCTTCTTTGCATAATCTTCTCGAGTTGGGTCAGGTTTGATGGGTTCAGAGCCTGGACAGTTTGTTCTAACTCACAAATGTTTAATAATATCCAGGTCTGGGACTGAGACGAACGTTTGCAGACCTCTGTATCTGACAAACTTTGTTACGTTTCACATTTTAACGGTGTCTTGGAGCTTTAGTGTTTGAAGGATGCAATGAAGCTGAGCAGAATAAATCCTCTACATGTTTGTGGACGGTTTGCACCTGCCAGAAAACACAGAACATTATATCTCTGTGTTTTATATTCAGTTTTATATCATCCGAGTGAATCGGAGGAACAGACATAATATTGTGTGTTTGAAAATATTTAAGACTTTCTCATGGGGAACACAACGGGGAAAAATGGCCAACCGTTGTTGATTTGGAAGCCTGATGTGAAGTTAAGGGACCAGGTTTATACAGACATTTTCCCCATGACTAATTTCAGCATTTGCAGATCTAAAAAAATATGTTTTTGGAATTGAAAAAACCTAATTGAGACCATACAAATTCCCTCCAGGTGCTCCGGTTACCCTTACCGCTATAAGATGTACAACAGTCCACCATAAGACACTGCCGGGCACCAAGACTTAAATTCGTATATAGTGCGTCTACACCTTTTAAGCACTGGTGTCAAATCTCTCTCTCTCTCTCTCTCTGGTCTCTCTTTCTGCCTCTCTATGTCTCTGGTCTCTCTCTCTCTCTCTGGTCTCTCTTTCTGCCTCTCTATGTCTCTAGTCTCTCTCTCTCTCTGGTCTCTCTTTCTGCCTCTCTATGTCTCTGGTCTCTCTCTCTTTCGGGTCTCTCTTTCTGCCTCTATGTCTCTGGTCTCTCTCTCTTTCTGGTCTCTCTTTCTGCCTCTCTATGTATGTGGTTTCTCTCTCTCTCTCTGGTCTCTCTTTCTGCCTCTATGTCTCTGGTCTCTCTCTCTCTCTGGTCTCTCTTTCTGCCTCTATGTCTCTGGTCTCTCTCTCTCTCTCTGGTCTCTCTTTCTGCCTCTCTGTGTCTCTGGTCTCTCTCTCTCTCTTTCTGCCTCTCTGTGTCTCTGGTCTCTCTCTCTCTCTCTCTGGTCTCTCTTTCTGCCTCTCTATGTCTCTGGTCTCTCTCTCTCTCTCTCTGGTCTCTCTTTCTGCCTCTCTATGTCTCTGGTCTCTCTCTCTGGTCTCTCTTTCTGCCTCTCTATGTCTCTGGTCTCTCTCTCTCTCTCTGGTCTCTCTTTCTGCCTCTCTATGTCTCTGGTCTCTCGCTCTCTCTCTGGTCTCTCTTTCTGCCTCTCTATGTCTCTGGCCTCTCTCTCTCTCTCTGGTCTCTCTTTCTGCCTCTCTGTGTCTCTGGTCTCTCTCTCTCTTTCTGCCTCTCTGTGTCTCTGGTCTCTCTCTCTCTCTCTCGTCTCTCTTTCTGCCTCTCTATGTCTCTGGTTTCTCTCTCTCTCTGGTCTCTCTTTCTGCCTCTCTATGTCTCTGGTCTCTCTCTCTCTCTCTCTGGTCTCTCTTTCTGCCTCTCTATGTCTCTGGTCTCTCTCTCTGGTCTCTCTTTCTGCCTCTCTATGTCTCTGGTGTCTCTCTGGTCTCTCTTTCTGCCTTTCTCTGTCTCTGGTCTCTCTCTGTCTCTCTTCTCTCTCACTCTCTCTATGTCTCTGGTCTCTCTCTCTCTCACTGGTCTCTCTTTCTGCCTTTTGTATGTCTCTGGTCTCTCTTTCTGCCTTTCTCTGTCTCTGGTCTCTCTTTCTGCCTCTCTATGTCTCTAGTCTCTCTCTCTCTCTGGTCTCTCTTTCTGCCTCTATGTCTCTGGTCTCTCTCTCTCTCTCTCTGGTCTCTCTTTCTGCCTCTCTATGTCTCTGGTCTCTCTCTCTCTCTCTCTGGTCTCTCTTTCTGCCTCTCTATGTCTCTGGTCTCTCTCTCTCTCTGGTCTCTCTTTCTGCCTCTACTGTATGTCTCTGGTCTCTCTCTCTCTCTCTGGTCTCTCTTTCTGCCTCTATGTCTCTGGTCTCTCTCTCTCTCTCTGGTCTCTCTTTCTGCCTCTCTGTCTCTCTGGTCTCTATCTCTCTCTCTCTGGTCTCTCTTTCTGCCTCTCTATGTCTCTGGTCTCTCTCTGTCTCTCTCACTCTCTCTATGTCTCTGGTCTCGCTCTCTCTCTGGTCTCTCTTTCTGCCTCTCTATGTCTCTGGTCTCGCTCTCTCTCTGGTCTCTCTTTCTGCCTCTCTATGTCTCTGGTCTCTCTCTGGTCTCTCTTTCTGCCTTTCTCTGTCTCTGGTCTCTCTCTGTCTCTCTATCTCTCTGGTCTCCACAATTGGGCCAAATATCAAGAAAAGATGTATTAGTAAGTAGGTGTTTATTTTAAGTAATATTTTTCATACAGCAGGAGAAAAACAAAAAACATTCATGTTTGTATTGGAAGCTTGATTGTGAAACATAAAAACAATAACTACTTTTTTAGTAACTATAATTCCTATCAACATCATTGAACATATTCTATGACTGTATATGGTTATTTTCCTGAGATAATAGACTTTAAAATGAAGTATCACATGCCATAGAAGCCCATTACCAACAATGTTACTGTGACTGTGATAAATAACCTTGAAACTCACTTCAGGGGCCACGACGGTTGGTTTTTCGGGCCGGATTTGACCCTCGGGCCTGAGTTTGCCCTGCCTGTTGTTAACTGTATACCATATCCGTATAGATCAGCAGCACCCACACATTGCTTGTCGGGCGTTTGGTGTTGTTACGTTCGAGGCAGAGGGACCAGAAACCCCCTCAGAGACGTCGGAAAAGCACATATCTGATAGTGATGCTAAAGGTTGGGCGTGCGGGCAAAACCAACATCCGCGTGGAAACAGCCCAGACGCCCGGAATAAATCTGCGAGCAAACATCCGAGAGACGGCGAGGGGACGGAGATAAGACGGAGACAGATAAGAACCTCATTTATTTTAGTCTCAGCCGACAATAAAACCTTTTGAAGAGAGACAGAAGCAAAAACAACAAGTGGAAGGTCGGAGAGTGGACTTGCCCCGACAGGTTCTAGAACAGGGGTCTCCCACTCACTTTGTCCAGGGGCATGAAGGGTTATGTTTATGACGAGTTTGTGTGTGTGTGTAGACCATATGGGAGCAAACGGATCTATGCTCACGCAGAGATGGAATCAGCGGTTGTGCTTTGCTCACGCAGTTTAGCTCCTGGAGAAAAGTAACAAACAGCTAAAAACTCTGCATCTTCTCATTCTTTAACATTAACAGAGAAAGTAAACGTTTGTTCTCGCTGGTCTCTCTCTGGTCTCTCTCTGGTCTCTCTCTGATCTCTCTCTGGTCTCTCTCTGGTCTCTCTCTGGTCTCTCTCTGGTCTCTCTCTGGTCTCTCTCGCTGGTCTCTCTCTGGTCTCTCTCTGGTCTCTCTCTCTGGTCTCTCTCTGGTCTCTCTCTGATCTCTCTCTGGTCTCTCTCTGTCTCTCTCTCTCTGGTCTCTCTCTGGTCTCTCTCGCTGGTCTCTCTCTGGTCTCTCTCTGGTCTCTCTCTGGTCTCTCTCTGGTCTCTCTCTCTGGTCTCTCTCTGGTCTCTCTCGCTGGTCTCTCTCTGGTCTCTCTCTGGTCTCTCTCTGGTCTCTCTCTCTGGTCTCTCTCTGGTCTCTCTCGCTGGTCTCTCTCTGGTCTCTCTCTGGTCTCTCTCTGGTCTCTCTTTGGTCTCTCTGGTATCTCTCTCTGGTCTCTCTCTGGTCTCTCTCTGGTCTCTCTCTGGTCTCTTTCTGGTCTCTCTCTGGTCTCTCTCTCTGGTCTCTCTTTGGTCTCTCTCTGGTATCTCGCTCTGGTCTCTCTCTGGTCTCTCTATGCTCTCTCCCTGCTCTTTCTGGTCTTTCTTTCTGGTCTCTCTCTCTCTCAGGTCTCTCTCTCTCTGCTCTGGTGTTTCTATCTGGTCTCTCTCTCTGGCCTCTCTCTGCTCTCTCCCTGCTCTTTCTGGTCTCTCTCTCTCTGGTCTCTCTATCTGGTCTCTCTCTGGTCTCTCTCTCTGGTCTCTCTGGTTTCTCTGGTCGCTCTCTCTGGTCTCCCTCTGGTCTCTCTCTGGTCTCTCTCTGGTCTCTCTCTGGTCTCTCTTTGGTCTCTCTCTGGTCCTTCTCTCTGGTCTCTCTCTGGTCTCTCTCTGGTCTCTCTCGCTGGTCTCTCTCTGGTCTCTCTCTGGTCTCTCTCTGGTCTCTCTCGCTGGTCTCTCTCTGGTCTCTCTCTGGTCTCTTTCTGGTCTCTCTCTGGTCTCTCTCTCTGGTCTCTCTTTGGTCTCTCTCTGGTATCTCGCTCTGGTCTCTCTCTGCTCTCTCCCTGCTCTTTCTGGTCTTTCTTTCTGGTCTCTCTCTCTCTCAGGTCTCTCTCTCTCTGCTCTGGTGTTTCTATCTGGTCTCTCTCTCTGGCCTCTCTCTGCTCTCTCCCTGCTCTTTCTGGTCTCTCTCTCTCTCTCTCTCTCTCTCTCTCTCTGGTCTCTCTCTCTGGTCTCTCTATCTGGTCTCTCTCTGGTCTCTCTCTGGTCTCTCTCTCTCTGGTCTCTCTCTCTGGTCTCTCTCTCTGGTCTCTATCTCTGGTCTCTCTCTCTGGTCTCTCTGGTTTCTCTGGTTTCTCTGGTCGCTCTCTCTGGTCTCCCTCTGGTCTCTCTCTGGTCTCTCTATCTGGTCTCTCTCTCTGGTCTCCCTCTGGTCTCTCTCTGGTATCTCTCTGGTCTCCCTCTGGTCTCTCTCTGGTCTCTCTCTGGTCTCTCTCTCTGGTCTCCCTCTGGTCTCTCTCTGGTCTCTCTCTGGTCTCTCTCTGGTCTCTCTCTGGTGTCTGTCCATCTTCTCATTCTTTGACATTAACAGAGAAAGTAAAGGTTTGGGCTTGAAACAGACCCAAACCGTGACTTTTAATCATGAAGGAGTTTGGACCAAATCATTTATTTTATTGAATATGAGTTTGATGTAATTAAATATATTTCTATGAACAAAATGAGTCCAGCTGCTGGGATTGAAACACAACATATACTTTGAACTATTGCTAATTGCATTTACGGTAAATAAATGCTGTGGTTGTTAAAAATATCTTTAAAATGATGTATAACATATTTTCAAAGACTCGCAGTGACGCTTGATGTCCACCAGGAGGCCACAGAACACATTATTGCTGCACGTTTGAAACCACGGCTGTAACTGTCTGTATTGTAATGTTTGACAACCAAATCGACACCAAAATCATCAATTCTTTCTGTTTGTCCTTGTGTTTCCTAAATATTTGGTTGATTGGAACAGAGACATCATCGCGATTGACTCCGAGTCGTTTGTCTCAGACTTTTACTTTTTTGCACATTTAAAATAACACGAGGCTGCGCCAAAAACCTCACTGCTTGTAAAACAAACCCAAACCCTCAGAGACCAAAGGCTTCTGTTGTTTTTAAATCATGGTTCATTTGTGTCTCAGAGAACAGAGGCCTGTGGGAAACACCGGGACAGTACCACGGTTCCTTTTCACCGTTTAAAGACCGGAGTTTGTGGCGCAGGGTTTGAGTTTGGATTTGATATCGGTCTCATTGACTGCCATTGACGTGTTTGTCTGAGACCCTCTTTTCAACTGGAGATTACAGGACAATAAAAATAGCTAGAAACAAACTTATTTTTGCTGATGAAAGTAGACAATCCAGTCTTGCAGAACCTGGTTTCATATTTCACACGGTCTTGGCAAATAATATTCTGTGGGTCTTGAGAATCAGTGAAATCGTCAAAAACGGCTGGCAGTCATTGAGTTAGCACCCAAAGTGGACCCAGAACGACTGAACCCCCGAAAGGCCATGAATAAGACTTTGATTCTGGAATTAAAGTCTTCTGTTAAAGGAACTCATTTTTACTCCCGTCCAGTGTTGACATCATTTGTTGCAGTCAACTCTCTAGCGCCCTGCAGTTCACTATAAGTATTACAACTACGGTAGCCATCAAAGGACAATTTATTGTCTACGACATCATCTCATTACTGTTAAACTCACTTTAACAAACTTACCGAGTGCTTGGTGTGATATAATAAGACGACATTTTGTAGATTAAAATATAAACCTTTGCATTTCGCGCCACACACGTTTTTCAGGCGCGGCAGAGGCGACGGGTACGGCGGCTTGAGGCAGGCGGCAAACGCATGGGATGAGATTCACTCAAATTCCATTCAGAGAGCAGCAAAGTGGTTACGAGGACACAAGCCGGTCCAAACAGAGACAAAGACACTCGAAAATAACTAAAATTTGAACTAAACCATGATAAAAACAGGATTAAACCAAAGGGAGACGCAGTCGAGAACTCCTCCCAGGATCTCCTCCCTGGGGAGGTGTTCCGGGCACGTCCCACCGGGAGGAGGCCCCAGGGAAGACCCAGGCACGCTGGAGGGACTATGTCTCTCAGCTGGCCTGGGAACGCCTTGGGGTCCCCCTGGACGAGCTGGAGGAAGTGTGTGTGGATAGGGAAGTCTGGGCGTCTCTGCTTAGACTGCTGCCCCCGCGACCCGGCAACGGATGAAGCGGAAGAAAATGAATGGATGGATGGCATTTGCATGTATCTAAAGTGGTGCATTAAAAGAACTTCTTCCTGTGAACACAAATGCTAACCACCAGCACCCGCTCCGTGGCTTCTGACGAGTGAATAGAGCCTTGTTCAGGGTGAGACGGTGCGGAGTCATGAGAGAAGCTCCTGACCTGAACATCAGCCTGAGCAAAAGTGCAGAAATACAGAAATACAGCCAGAGCATGTCACTGTGAAGGATCATCTGAATTATGGATCCCTTCAGGTTTCACTAAAGCAACAATAACACGGAAGACTTCACTCACACAATCACACATTTACAGATGGTTCTATCACAAGACATTCACCGAACACATTAGACACATGTCTAATCCGGAATCTTTAAGATGCTAAAGTTAGAGATTTTAGACTTTATTCTTCATTATGTTAAAGTTAGAGATTTTATACTTGCTTCTTTATTATGAAAAGTTTAAGTTTATTCTTTATTTGGTGGAGTCACAAACACACATTCATTCAACATGAACTATTGAACATATTTTTAATGGAAGGGGAAAACTGGAGCACTCGGAGGAAACCTACGCAGACACAGAGGAACATGGAAACTCCACTCAGAAAGGCCCGGTTCCGACCAGAATTCGAGAGTGCTAACCACTCAGCCACCATGCCTCCTCAAAGTTAGAGATTTTAGACTTGCTTGTTTATGATGCTAAAGCTAGAGATGTATTTATTTTAGCACAGACTTTTTGATCTTTATCCTGTGCTGTGTGCTCCTCATTCCCGCTGTTGTGTAACTGCTGATGCAACACTGACATTTCCCCGCTGTGGGACTAATAAAGGATCTTTTATTTTTAATCTTAAACACAAAACCAGAAAAAATTAGGTCAGAGTTTTGATTGAAACTATTGTAAACGAGAAACAATATGATCGTTGTCCCTCGGCCTCCCCCGCTTCCTCTTTCTGCAAACAGAGAAACACAAACCTACGCAAACACAATCCAACCGTGAACACACAAATATGGAAGTCTGCGTTCTAATCCCACAGAATATCAAAATTCACATAAACCCAGGGCATGACGCTCGCTCTGGTCTCCCTCGATTGACTCCTGCTGTTCTCCTCTCGCTCAGAACAGAGGTCACCGAAGGAACACGTCACTCACAAACACCAGAGTCGCACAAATGATGACAAATGGTCTGCCATCCGCCGCCCGACGCACAATCAAGCCCAGACCTGGTCCTGTGTACGCACACTTCCTGCAGATGGAGATGGATGGTTCTCAAGGTGAGGCCTCAGGTCGGTTTCTGTCACTGGCGTCGAGTCAACTGTGGAAGTCTGACAGGAAAACGCCCATTTATGGACTTTATCAACATTTAAAGGAGCTATACCTGTTTCTGCAATGTTTGGATGTTTAGCCCCGCCCCCAACTTGCTCACAGGCTTCTCATGTCCCCTACGCTCTCATCCCACGGAGCATCTAGTTTTATTTGCGATCTATATGCTAACATTAGCATGAGCGTAACTTAAGCTGTACAACAATCACTGATGAAATGGTACAAAAGCAACGCACTGCTTTTTAGCATCTAAAAAACTTTGCCAGGATCAAAAACATAGTGTCTAAAGCAGACCTGGAGATTCTTATCCATGCATTTGTCTCCAGTAGGTTAGACTACTGCAATGGCCTGCTCACAGGTCTCTCCAAACAGGCTGTAAAACAGCTGCAGTACATTCAAAATGCAGCAGCTCGAGTCCTGACTAGAACCAGGAAGTACGACCACATTAGTCCAGTCCTCAGGTCTCTGCACTGGCTTCCTGTGGCTCAGAGAATAGACTTTAAAACAGCTCTGCTTGTTACAAGTCTCTCCATGGCCTCGCACCAAAATATATTAGTGACATGTTAGTTCCATATGAACCAGCCCGGACTCTGAGGAGCACAGGGACTGGACTCCTGCTGGGACTCTGAGGAGCACAGGGTCTGGCCTCCTGCTGGGACTCTGAGGAGCACAGGGACTGGACTCCTGTTAGTGTCCAGAGTCAGAACTAAACATGGGGAGGCTGCTTTTCAGATTCATGCTGCTAAAATCTGGAACAGTCTTCCTGAAGATGTGAGACAGGCCTCCTCTCTGACAATGTTTAAAACCAAGTTAAAGACAGTTCTGTTTAGCTGTGCTACAACTGAGGGATTTTATATTTGTATCTTTCTTTTTAATGTTCTGTGATTATTTATAATTTTAATGCTTTCTTGTTTTGTTCAGCACTTTGAGTTGCCTTGTGTATGAATTTTGCTATATAAATAAACTTGCCTTGCCTGCTAACACAATATATAACTGAAAGATTACCGCTAGTTCCGCGTCCAAATGTAGTCTGAACATAGATAGTCCGAGCGTAGATAGTCCGAGCGTAGATAGTCCGAGCATAGATAGTCCGAGCGTAGTTAGTCCGAGAGTAGATAGTCCGAGCGTAGATAGTCCGAGCATAGATAGTCCGAGCGTAGATAGTCCGAGCGCAGATAGTCCGAGCGTAGGTAGTCCGAGCGTAGGTAGTCCGAGCGTAGATAGTCCGAGCATAGATAGTCCGAGCGTAGATAGTCCGAGCGCAGATAGTCCGAGCGTAGATAGTCCGAGCGTAGGTAGTCCGAGCGTAGATAGTCCGAGCATAGATAGTCCGAGCGTAGATAGTCAGTGCGTAGATAGCCCGAGCGTAGATAGTCCGAGCAGAGATAGTCCGAGCATAGATAGTCCGAGCATAGATAGTCCGAGCGTAGATAGTCTGAGCGTAGATAGTTAGAGCGTAGATAGTCCGAGCATAGATAGTCCGAGCGTAGATAGTCCGAGCACAGATAGTCCGAGCGTAGATAGTCCGAGCATAGATAGTCCGAGCATAGATAGTCCGAGCATAGATAGTCCGAGCGTAGATAGTCCGAGCACAGATAGTCCGAGCGTAGATAGTCCGAGCGTAGGTAGTCCGAGCATAGATAGTCCGAGCGCAGATAGTCCGAGCGTAGATAGTCCGAGCGTAGGTAGTCCGAGCGTAGATAGTCCGAGCATAGATAGTCCGAGCGTAGATAGTCCGAGCGTAGATAGTCCGAGCATAGATAGTCCGAGCGTAGATAGTCCGAGCGCAGATAGTCCGAGCGTAGATAGTCCGAGCGTAGGTAGTCCGAGCGTAGATAGTCCGAGCATAGATAGTCCGAGCGTAGATAGTCCGAGCGTAGATAGTCCGAGCGTAGATAGTCCGAGCATAGATAGTCTGAGCGTAGATAGTCAGTGCGTAGATAGCCCGAGCGTAGATAGTCCGAGCAGAGATAGTCCGAGCATAGATAGTCCGAGCATAGATAGTCCGAGCGTAGATAGTCTGAGCGTAGATAGGTAGAGCGTAGATAGTCCGAGCATAGATAGTCCGAGCGTAGATAGTCAGTGCGTAGATAGCCCGAGCGTAGATAGTCCGAGCAAAGATAGTCCGAGCATAGATAGTCCGAGCATAGATAGTCCGAGCGTAGATAGTCTGAGCGTAGATAGTTAGAGCGTAGATAGTCCGAGCGTAGATAGTCCGAGCGTAGGTAGTCCGAGCGTAGATAGTCCGAGCATAGATAGTCCGAGCGTAGATAGTCAGTGCGTAGATAGCCCGAGCGTAGATAGTCCGAGCAGAGATAGTCCGAGCATAGATAGTCCGAGCATAGATAGTCCGAGCGTAGATAGTCCGAGCACAGATAGTCCGAGCGTAGATAGTCCGAGCATAGATAGTCCGAGCGTAGATAGTCCGAGCACAGATAGTCCGAGCGTAGATAGTCCGAGCATAGATAGTCCGAGCATAGATAGTCCGAGCGTAGATAGTCCGAGCACAGATAGTCCGAGCGTAGATAGTCCGAGCATAGATAGTCCGAGGCGGTCCCGCAGGTCTCTCCCATAGACAAGTCTCTCCAGAGGATACGATGTAAGCTAGCTCTGTTCAGGGCTTGATTTCTTCTTTGATAATTTTTTGGCTTTAGTTCCTCTTCTCTTCCTCACTGTTGTGTGGTTTGGGCTGTTTTGCTGAGTCTGCAGTTACAGCCAGAGGAGTTATAGCCACTTATGCTAACATGCTACTGTGTTTAGCAGCGCTGTAGAGGCTAGAGGACGCTGCCTCGCTCTGTGATTGGAGGAGAGCGGGCGTCACGCTAAGTCTCTACTCAGCACTTTTTACACCTGAATTCATGCACAGCTGAATCAATGAACTCAAGTTTTACATTAACTTACAGATTATAATACAACTTGTATGTACTGTTGTGATTCAGGGACAAACAAATTTTGTGCAGTCCCGCCTCCTGCACAAAATTGTGCAGGAGGCGGGACTGCAACACTGTCTTTTCACTTTGAAGGAAAACTACACTTGGCTCCGCTCTCCTCCGGCTGCGAGGGACAAAGGCTCTGACCGAGTCCGACCCACACGCTGCCCTCACCTGGTTCTGATCCAGTCTCTCGACCTGGTCCCCCTCCTCTCCCCGTACTCTCCTCCTCCTCTCCCTCCTCTCCTCCTCCTCTCCTCCTCCTCTCCTCCTCCTCTCCCCCTCCTCTCCTCCTCCTCCTCCTCTCCCTCCTCTACCCCTCCTCTCCCCCCTCCTCTCCTCCTCCTCTCCCCCTCCTCTCCTCCTCCTCTCCCCCTCCTCTCCTCCTCCTCTCCTCCTCCTCTCCCTCTCCTCTCCCCCTCCTCTCCTCCTCCTCTCCTCCTCCTCTCCTCCTCCTCTCCCCCTCCTCTCCTCCTCCTCTCCTCCTCCTTCTCCTCCTCCTCTCCCCCTCCTCTCCTCCTCCTCCTCCTCTCCCTCCTCTACCCCTCCTCTCCCCCTCCTCTCCTCCTCTCCCCCTCCTCTCCTCCTCCTCTCCTCCTCCTCTCCTCCTCCTCTCCCCCTCCTCTCCTCCTCTCTCTCCCCCTCCTCTTCCCCTCCTCTCCTCCTCCTCTCCTCCTCCTCCTCTCCCCCTCCTCTACCCCTCCTCTTCCCCTTCTCTCCTCCTCCTCTCCCTCCTCTACCCCTCCTCCTCTCCTCCTCCTCTCCCCCTCCTCTACCCCTCCTCTTCCCCTTCTCTCCTCCTCCTCTTCCTCCTCTAACCCTCCTCCTCTCGTCCTCCTCTCCCCCTCCTCTACCCCTCCTCTTCCCCTTCTCTCCTCCTCCTCTCCCTCCTCTACCCCTCCTCTCCTCCTCCTCTCCCCCTCCTCTCCCCCTCCTCTCCCCCTCCTCTTCCCCTTCTCTCCTCCTCCTCTCCCTCCTCTACCCCTCCTCCTCTCCTCCTCCTCTCCCCCTCCTCTACCCCTCCTCTTCCCCTTCTCTCCTCCTCCTCTCCCTCCTCTACCCCTCCTCTCCCCCTCCTCTCCCCCTCCTCTTCCCCTTCTCTCCTCCTCCTCTCCCTCCTCTCCCTCCTCTACCCCTCCTCCTCTCCTCCTCCTCTCCCCTCCTCTACCCCTCCTCTCCCCCTCCTCTCCCCCTCCTCTTCCCCTTCTCTCCTCCTCCTCTCCCTCCTCTCCCTCCTCTACCCCTCCTCCTCTCCTCCTCCTCTCCCCTCCTCTACCCCTCCTCTTCCCCTTCTCTCCTCCTCCTCTCCCTCCTCTACCCCCCCTCCTCTCCCCCTCCTCTCCTCCTCCTCTTCCCCTCCTCTCCTCCTCCTCTCCCCCTCCTCTCCCACTGGCGGTGGTCCAGGAGACAAGTACCATGAAACCCAATACTTTGACTTCTGCCATAAACGATGTCCTCGGCCTGAAACGTGTCTCACATTATCATAAAGTTGAAAGAGAACGAGAGAATGTAGTTCTTTATGACAGATGTTGGCAACAACACAAGGCTCTCTCTCTCTCTCTCTCTCTCTCTGTACCTCATTAGTCCATGCCTTTTTTGTTAATCTTGTCTCCAGATGAATCCCCAATTCCCATTGGAAAGATCGGTTAAAGGCAGAAGGGAGAGAGACCAGAGAGAGGCCAGAGAGAGAGACCAGTAAGAGAGCAGAGAGAGAAGCCAGAGAGAGAGACCGGAGAGACAGAGACTAGAGAGAGAGAGGCCAGAGAGAGATATGATTTTTAGAGTCACTGAAGCCTCAGATGTAAATGACCAGTTTAAACTCAAAGTTGAAACAGATCAGGATTTAATTGAATATCACGAAACTTTTCCACTGTGAAAAATATCGGGATACTGAACAGAAGAGATGTTTTTCTCCGCCATCAGTGAAAGAGGACCCGGTCTGAGCCAGAGGAGGCTTCAGACCCTCAGTTTCACTTCCAAACCATCTCTGGAAAAGAAGAAAAGAGGTTGATCCAAGCAGCAGCAGCTTGGTCTTCTGCTGGATCTGAGTCTGAGTCTGAGCCGCTGCTGACGTCAGGACTGGACTGAGGTTTCATGTCTCTGGCTTTCTACAATCGTGACTCTGGAGTTCTGTTTCAGACAAAGAACCGTTATGATTTATTGTTTGGCTAAATGATTTCTGATTTTATTTTAATGAAGTAAAAGTACAAATATTCTGACTTTAATCTCATAGTGTCTGGCAAAAAAAACAATAATGCATCGGGTGAGCCTTATTGTTGTAGTTTTTAACTTATTCATTGATCAGCATTGAGATGAAAAATGTCCAAGAGTTTTCAAATTTCAGCACATTTTGACTGCCTTAATAACAATAATAATAAAGTTTTAAACACCGCATTTCAGGACAGTCAAAGACCCCTCACATGGCATTATTCTTTCACTCCAGACTTGGTGGTGATAAACTACTGTAGCCACAACTGCCCTGGGGCACACTGACAGAAGCAAGGCGACCCTCCCCCCACCACCTACCATTCACACACACACCAGACTCACTCTAATGTGGGGGAAGTGTACTTTACAGCCACAGCGGCCCCACTGTGGCACCTGGTGTTCCCACAGGTCTCCCATCACAGAACTAACCAGGCCCTGCCCTGCACAGCTTCAGAGGTCTGACAGGAGCTGGCTTTGGCCTTAACAGAACATTTACCTTCGGGACAAAGCAAAATGATCTTGGAATGAGAAAATAAAGCCACAGTCCTAAACCTCAGACTAAACGGCTTTGTTATTGTGTATTCTTTATATTGTAATGCTGTATTTTGTATTTTTAAAGGTAAAGGTGCACTTTATTAATCCCCGCAGGGCAATTCATCCTCTGCATTTGACCCATCCTGATGCCACGGAGCCTTACGTCAGGAGCAGTGGTCGCCGTAGTAACAGCGCCCGGGAACCCATCTCCAGATGTTGATGCTCGGCTGGGTCAGGACCAGAGCTGGAGGATTTAACCTAGAGTGCATGTTTTTAGTGGTAGGGGAAACCGGAGCACCCGGAGGAAACCTACGCATGCACTGGGAGAACATGCAAACTCCACTCTGGGATCTTTTATTGTAATGCCGTATTTTATAATGCTGTATTTTGTTGATATTTCACACCTTGAGGAGGAGGAGTGCGAGCCACAATCACAGATCATAAAACTCTAAATCAGAGTCAGATGTAAAACTCTGTAAACTCCAGAACGTTGGAACAGTCGAGGTGCGTCGTTTCAGGAGCCGTTTGGTTTTTACCAGCGCTCAGCAGCGAGTTCCTAATGAGCAACAGAACAACAGCCTTTGTGCAGATAATCCCACCTCTGTTTGTCTACGACAGGGAAGAAAAGCTGAGATTCCTGAAGTGAGAACGCTTTGTTTTGACGCGTTTGGCTCCGTCTGTTCTGCTGAAGGTGAAGGATGATACAGGAAGTTGTTTGTTGATATCTGACCAATAAGAAAACGGGAAGATGTCGTTGTACTAACTTTAAATAAATGTCTGTGTTATTATTGTTTCCCTTCATGTTGGTTCTAATCCAGAATAATCTCATCGGCTTAGGTGAGTTGAAGAGCATGAAGGAGACAATATAATGGACCAGCAACAAGGGGAGAGGAGCACAGGTACATATAGACAGAGAGACACAGGTACATATAGACACAGAGACATAGGTACATATAGACACAGAGACACAGGTACATATAGACACAGAGACACAGGTACATATAGACACAGGTACATATAGACACACAGAGACACAGGTACATATAGACACAGAGACACAGGTACATATAGACACAGAGAGACACAGGTACATATAGACACAGAGAGACACAGGTACATATAGACACACAGAGACACAGGTACATATAGACACAGAGACACAGGTACATATAGACACAGAGACACAGGTACATATAGACACAGGTACATATAGACACACAGAGACACAGGTACATATAGACACAGGTACATATAGACACACAGAGACACAGGTACATATAGACATAGACCAGTGAGATTAGCTTGATGCGGTGAGTTCTGGCGACCTGGATTACGGACTTTCTGATTGGTTAAAGGGTGGAGGGCGGGACAATGCCAAGATTAAGGGCCTGGAAAACAATTTTTGAAATACAAAAATCTCTGAATTACTGTTTTCTGAAGTATTGGAAAAGACCATGTTTCAGTAAAACCTTTGGACAGATTAGGGCCCGTTAATGATGACTTGACAATAAAATCTTACATGCTGCTACTTTTATAAAAGTGTTAAATTTGGAAGCAAAGATCAGAGAATCAAACACAAAAATGCAATTATAGAAAACACATAGAGCCAGTGGTCCATAAAGGGCAGAGACCAATGTCCATAAATGTTAATAAATGTTGTGTTGTGTCCTGGATCATCACCTCTGTCCTTTTTGTTAGACCCAGACAAGTCGCCGACAGACGCTCCGGCATCGGCAAGAAACACCTCAACAATAACCTGAAAAACTATTATTAACCTTTTAAATGGAGTGGTCATTATCTAAAAGTCCATGTTGCAGATGCAGCGAGTTTGGTGAAACAGTAGTTCTTTGTTAGAGCGTACAGAACTGCTCCCCCGACGTGAATGAAGCTAAATAAGGTGAAGTTCTACATCAGAGCGGCCCTCCAAAGAGCTTTTAATAAGCCAGCAGAGGGGCCCGTCAAAACGCTCGCACACACAAACTTAATGAGGGGTGTCTCGCACTTTGCCGTGTAGCGCCAAGAATGGTGTGGGTGCTTAAGGGTAAAAAGGAGGGCAGCGAGGTGAAAGGAAAATACTTAACTAACTGCTCCATCAAAGCCACTTCACACACGGGATTTAGTGCAACCTTCACACTGCATCAGCTTTGTTATAGTGTTGTATGTAGAACCAGATATGGGGTTAGATAGATAGATAGATAGATAGATAGATAGATAGATAGATAGATAGATAGATAGATAGATAGATAGATAGATAGATAGATAGATAGATAGATAGATAGATGTACTTTATTGATTCCCGTGGGAGAAATGCAGGTGTCCAGTAGCAGCAAAATTAAAAAATAAAATTGATCATTCTAAAAAGCTAACAATAGTAATAATCAGCAACAGCCTCAGGTCACAGCAGCAGAGGTGGTAGCTGTAGCTAGTACCATGAAGTACGGGCAGCGAGGCAACCAGTCTGTGCCATCGGCCCCTCCCACCACCATCAACCATCCACACACACACCAGACTCATTTAATGTGGGTGAAGTGTCTTGCCTAAGGACACAACCACAGTCGGGCACTTCACAGCCGCCCCACTGTGGCACCTGGTGTTCCCGGAGGTCTCCCATCACAGACTAACCAGGCCCTGTCCTGCTTAGCTTCATAGGTCTGACAGGATCTGGCTTTCACCTGCAGGTAAAGCCGTGTTCATTCCTGGTTTTTTTTTTTACTAAACGCAGCAGTTTTAATGAAGAAAATGACAGTTTTGATAAACTTTCCCAGTTTGTGTTGTTTTTGTCGTTTGTGTAAATCCTTCTGTGGCCGGTGTTTGCCTGATGTCACCGTGACCTGCTCTGGTCCAGGTCCCGTCGTGTTGATGTGGCGCACGCTTCCAGAATGCAAACAGTGTGTTGTGTTTGGGTCGAGACCTGGTTGTGTGTCGATTGTGGTTTGACGGAATGGAAATGTGTGTCAGATGTTGGCAAAGTGTGTGTCCTCATCTGTGGAACATATTTCTCTCTTTGAACCACGATTTAAGGTTTTTGCCGTTTCAAATATCGTCTAAAGTGTGAGAGGCCGGGATTAAACCAGGTGAGCTTTGCCTCCTGCTGTCGGGACGGACCTGATTTCAATGTTTTTCTTTGGCTTAACTTTTGAAAACATTATTTTAGACTAAATGTTAAATATTACAGCAGCGCAGAGGGATTTTATGGTCTTTTCATTATATCTAAATAAACGGAGGATGTTGTGGCATTATAATGACTTCTGTTCTCTGAGGTTTTGTTTTACTTTGGCTCAAAAGTAAGTAAGTAATCTTTATTTATTTAGTGCATTTTTAAGTGCGACGCCGAACACACTGGACCATCAAAGCCCAAACAACACCATCCATTCACACTCATTACATTCAGACCTATTGTACATGGTTTTAGTGGTAGGGTAAACCACAGCACCCGGAGGAAACCTGCGCAGACACGGGGAGAACATTAAAACTGTTAACAGAGCAGATTATACGCAGTGTTGAACCTTAAAACACTACTTCACCATTCTCCTGAGCACATTCATTTATTCAATCTTTCTTTTTTTCCACAGGTGTTGGTGATCCTTGAATCAAATAGTCACGTGAGATTGGGTGACGTCATATAACGTTGACAACAAATAAAAAACAAAATGAGAGAACATATCAAGAAAAACTCCACTCAGAAAGGCCCTGTTGGACGAGAATCCAGGACCTTCTTGCTAGGAAGCGACAGTGCTAACCACTCAGCCACCGTGTCACCCAACAGCAACAACATGGTCCAAAAGGGTTCATGAGCACGTGCACTAACATGCTTGCAGTCTGGCTCCTTGCCGGTGGGGGTGTACCTGGAAACAGAATAATCCATTGCATTCTAATGTCGTCTTTGATCCTCTGGGAGATGTGTGTCGATGCTGAAGGGAGTATTTCTTTGGACCAGCCTAGTTTAGCCGCTGTGGACTTTAGAATGCCCATGTCTGTGGCACAAGCACTGCAAGGAAATAGGCCTCAGTGCGTTGGTTATATTTACAGTCTATGGTTTCACCGGAGTCTGTAATATGTACCTGTGCTATTCCACATGTCTATGATATGTACCTGTGCTACTCCACATGTCTATGATATGTACCTGTGCTACTCCACATGTCTGTAATATGTACCTGTGCTACTCCACATGTCTATGATATGTACCTGTGCTACTCCACATATCTATGATATGTACCTGTGCTACTCCACATATCTATAATATGTACCTGTGCTACTCCACTTATCTATAATATGTACCTGTGCTACTCCACATGTCTATAATATGTACCTGTGCTACTCCACATATCTATAATATGTACCTGTGCTACTCCACATGTCTATGATATGTACCTGTGCCACTCCACATATCTATAATATGTACCTGTGCTACTCCACATATCTATAATATGTACCTGTGCTACTCCACATGTCTATAATATGTACCTGTGCTACTCCACATTTGCTGCTGGTCTTGTCTTTGGTTTTCTGTGTTCCTGGTTCCAAAGTTTTGTTTAGAGTTTTTGGAGAGTTTTTTCCCGTGGAGTTTAAGTTTTTTATCTTCATTAAATCATTATTTGTTGCATTCCTGTTTTTAGGTCCTTCATTCCTCCTCATGACAGACGAGGGCTCAGGGCCTGATAGAAGTGTCCAAAGGGCCGCATCTGGCCCACGGACCGGGGTTTGCCCATCACTGAGTTAGACTCCACCTGGACTAAAATTATGGAAAGCTTTAACTATTAAAGGTTCAGGCTCCGTGGACATTTACAATAATGCGCTGCCAGTAACACAGAGGTGAAAGACAGATCCTGTCAGACCTCTGAAGCTAAGCAAGCCAGGGCCTGGTTAGTACTGTGATGGTAGACCTCTGGGTACAGCAGGTGCCACAGTGGGGCAGCTGTAAAGTGCTTAACTGTGGTTGTGTCCTTCAATGCTTCACTCACATTAGAATGACTCTAGTGTGTCTAAGAATGGTTAGTGGTGCTCACTTCTGTCAGTGTGCCCCAGGGCAGCTGTGGCTACAGTAGTCGTTTATCACGAGTGTATGAAGCAAAGTGAATAAGAACATGTGAAGTATCTTTGAGTGTCCAGAAAAGCCTGATATAAAACCAATACTTTATTATTGTTATTATTAATATCATTTAAATGACAAACACGACTAACAAGATCAAAAGTTTGAAGAGAACAAAGTTTAATTTTCCACGATGTAAATGTGGAGGTGGAACAGAGTCTGCAGTCGCTGTAAATGCACTTTGCTAATTTGTTCCCGGTGTCTTGTTAAAACGTTAAAGCGTTAATGAAATCTCCATGTGACCTTATTGTACCTGTGATCCCCCTGTGCACCCTTAGCTCTGCTCTTTGATGGCTGGCCCCTCCCGCGCAGTCGCTGACCCCCCGGGAGCGTGGCGTGGAGCTGGGAGCCGCGGCGGTTTGCTGTGTAGTGAGGCGCTTGATGGCGGGGCCCCTGTCACACGCAGGAGCCTCCCCTTGGGGCCGGAGCTGTCTCGGCAGTGCTCAGGATGTTTGTTGTGTTTGTGGAGCTTGTGCAGCCTAATTAAGGTTAATGTGATAGACAGGACTTAAGCACATGAAAGCCTCGGAGGGTTCACAGCCCAAACACTTCTCTGACTGAGGAGGCGTCCACACGAGGCCCTCGGGTCACGACTGTCAGCGCCCCGGTGACGCTCTTTGAAACTTAGACTGCGGAATGTACTCTCGCCTCTAGTTTGGGACGTACTTTTATTTTGAAGGTACTCTGTGTAATTTATACAATTGCTCCAAATGATAAAACATGTAAACCAATAACAAATGTGACCTTTTTAAGAACATTTACCTCCACCATGTTTTTGAACTGTTCTCATAGACTTAGAATCGGACTTATACATGGCCAGGAGGCTGAGGACTCTGTCAGTGCACCATCTTGAAATACAGTGGCTGATAAGGGACAAAAAGGAGTTTGAGGTGGGAGTTGGGGACCACTGTCAAAGACCACATATTGTCCTGTGAAGCTACTGTAGTATCGTAAATTACCAAGTATGATCTCTGCTAGATGGGAGTAAAAACGACAGTGTACCTTAAAGCTGCACTAACTGACTTTGGGATTTTGAAGCAGCAGACTCGCTGGCCTCTCTCTTTCTGCTCCCCTCCCCGCACCCACGAAGCTATCGCCCCCCACACACACCCACTGTTGGGACGAAGCTAGCGTCTCCCAATATGGATAATACATGGACATGGATTTGCACGTGGATGGCGTGACCATAGAACGATAGAACCGGGAAGCGCGGAGGAACGAGACTTTCTTTTGGATGGCTGTCTCGCTGTGTAAGCAGTAACCGGTGATGAAGAGACGAAGCTTCAGGTTAGCTCCTCGTCTTGTTGTGCTAATTCAGCCGTCTATGCTATCGGAGACCTGTAGATTTCTCACAAAAGTGGGGGCCAGTGGTCCGCGGTGATTGGTCACAATCTGCGACCCGAAACACATTCTCTTCCTTGTTTCATCAAAACTCGATCTAAAATATAATGTCACGCCAGCACAAATCTGCGCTACTTTTTTGTCAAAAGGACGTATAGCCCAATGCCCTACACGGACATGGATAGCATTTTCGTAATGAATACAAAAATAAAGTCAGTTAGTGCAGCTTTAAACGTTTACTTTTGAACGTGCTGGAAACAACAACGAGTCCTAAGTCGCTCTAAAACGTTATTTTTCTTACTTTTTTCTGTCTGTAAATGTTACTAGAGTGCAGTGTTCATGGTTTTACACTGATCCCCCGACTTCCCTCTCACACACCTCCTCCAGCTCATCCGGGGGGACCCCAAGGCGTTCCCAGGCCAGCTGAGAGACATAGTCCCTCTCTGTCCTGGGTCTTCCCCGGGGCCTCCTCTCGGTGGGACGTGCCCAGAACACCTCCCCAGGGAGGCGTCCAGGAGGCATCCGGAACAGATGAGCCACCTCAACTGGTTCCTCTCGACGTGGAGAAGCAGTGGCTCTACTCCAAGCTCCTCCAGTGTGACTGTGCTCCTCTATCTCTAAGGGAGCAGCCACTCTGCGGAGGAAGCTCATTTCAACCGATTGTCGAAAATATAAATAATATATATTTACTTTGTTTGATGTCTGCTCATCCTGCAGACTTTTGTTTCTACTGTCCTGTAACGTCTGCGCCCCCGACATTCCCCCGCTGTGGGAGGAGTTTAGGTGAGCTTATCTTAACTTATTAATCACACATTTTTAATAAAAGGGTTCTATGCCCTCTTTAGGTTGAGGCTGGAGCAGCACATGGACCCTGAAGTGAAGTCTGATCCCGGCCCTGGAACTTTCACTTGCTCTTCATGTTCTAAGAAGAAACAGACTCTATTGAACGCGAAATGGAATAAGTATGAAGCATTTCAGACTCAGGTCTAAACAAGAGGCACTGAACCTCAGTCTGAGAACACAAGACTTCTACTGTCTCACTTTATCCAAGGACCAGCTCTTTTTGTGTCAGACTGTACAATGAACAACGAGGTCTATAGAACACTGCCGACCTGAGCTCACATGTCGTGCTTCTGTGCAATAATCTTAAATAAGGTCAAAATGTGCGATACAGAACCACACGAGTCACTGTGTCCCAGAGCCTCGTGATGCTAACATGTACGAATACAAGCACTGTATATTACTGCGCTAGAAAATACTGTGTTTATACTTCTTTATTATGCTAAAGCTAGAGATTTTATACTAGCTTCTTTATTATGCTAAAGATAGAGATTTTATACTACTTTATTCTTCTTTATTATGCAGAATACAGAATCTCTTAATCTAAAACTGTTTTTAACTTAGTTGTTGTTGTTGTTAGAAGTTTATTCAAAAATAATAATCTTCACAATATGTCCAACTGGTAAATACTTGTGTATGTATGTATCATGTGTGTAAGTTCTTTTTTCAATGTGTCGACCACAAACATACGTTATGTTCATCACATCATGTACACAACATTAATTATCTTATTTTCCTTTCTCTTCTCCCTGTGTGTCACTTGTGCACCAAAATAATCCAAAGTAACAAATAAATCAAAATACATCATTAAAAATGAAAACTTTACCGAGGTTGTTAGATGGAGGGGAATCTTTTTCTCTGTAGATTTAGCCGTTGTTCTGGAAGTCGTTCTGGAAGTCGTTCTGGAAGTTGTTCCGGAAGTCGTTCTGGAAGTCGTTCCGGAAGTCATTCTGGAAGTCGTTCTGGAAGTCGTTCTGGAAGTCGTTCTGGAAGTCGTTCTGGAAGTCATTCTGGAAGTCGGAACGGAAGTCGTTCTGGAAGTCGTTCTGGAAGTTGTTCCGGAAGTCGTTCTGGATGTTGGTGTGTGGCTCTATCATTTCAAGTCTGTGCAACATCTCGGTCGACGCAGCACTTCCCACAGTGACCTCATCTTCTGTCGTCTCCAGCTGCAGATGTTCGGTGGTCTCCAGACTGACGCTGAAGAGGATCCCATTCACATTCACTTCAGTCGCCATGTGCAGTAAAACCACATTGGAATACACGTGCGTCCGGTGTGCACCCGACAAGTACAAGAGTAAAACAAGCCACAAAAGAAACTATAGTCGCTGTCAAATTAATCAACTAAAACTTGTGGAAAGAAGCAGCAAACTTATTTATGAATTTATTTGAAGTTTGTCAGTACATATTATTCACTGCTTCGGCAAACGGTGTAAACATAAATATACTGGAATTAGCACAACAGCTAAATTACATCCATTGTCCTCAGGCAGGTAAGAAACACACACACACACACTCACACACACACACACACACCCGCACGCACGCACACACACAGAGGCAACAGTGCAAACAATAACTTCACAAGCACAACATAAAGTATTTAAAAAAGAAGAGAAAGAGAAATATCCAGATGTTGTGCATCTCAGTGAACGACAGAGGGAAGAAGCTGGAACAGGGCTTTTCCCAGGGACCAGACTGCAAAATGTAAGTAAAAAATGCTCAAGTTTAGCAAAAATGTGTCTTAACTTGAGCTGTTTGTCCATCTTAAAACAAAATCTGAAAATGAGACAAAGCAAAATGGTCTTGTTTTAAAAAGATACAGAAATATCTCACTTGGAAAGAGAAAATAACACTACAGTTCTTGGAATAAAATTAAATGGCTTTGTCCTATTGAAGAATCTTGTTTTACCACAGTCAGAATGTGTCAGATTAAGATAAAAACCACTCTTTTCCAGCATTTATTAGCTCATATTTGATCTTTTTTGCAGTGCAGAAGAGTCGGTGATTGTTCTAAGAGCTGGGTTTGTCTGGAGCACACTCAGGACTCAGGACTAATCCAACTTCTCACCTTTTAAAATGAAACAGATCACCACCTCAAAGTAAGGGCAAAATCCCCACTAATAGCTGCACAAAGGCCCGTGGCAGATAAGCACACAGACGCACACATACACACACAGACGCACACATACACACACACACAGACACACAGACGCACACACACACAGACACACACACTCAGAGACGACAGGCGCTGATGAATGGTAGTGGGAAAACCCCGCTGCACGTCCTTCAAAGACATAAAAACCTGCAAAAGCTCTTCAAGGCACATCCTCAGAGCGTTTAGAGAGAGAGCGCGGAGGAGAGAGAGAGAGGCAGAGCAAGAGAGAGAGAGAGTATTCCCCACATGAAGAGAGAGAGAGAGAGACGGGAGAGAGAGAAAGAGAGAGAGGGAGGGAGAGAGAGAGGCAGAGCGAGAGAGAAGAGAGAGAGAGAGAGTATTCCCCACATGAAGAGAGAGAGAGAGAGACGGGAGAGAGAGAGAGAGAGAGAGGGAGGGAGAGAGAGAGGCAGAGCGAGAGAGAAGAGAGAGAGAGAGAGTATTCCCCACATGAAGAGAGAGAGAGAGAGTATTCCCCACATGAAGAGAGAGAGAGAGAGTATTCCCCACATGAAGAGAGAGAGAGAGAGAGAGTATTCCCCACATGAAGAGAGAGAGAGAGAGTATTCCCACAGAGAGAGGAGAGGAGAGTATTCCCCCACATGAAGAGAGAGAGAGAGAGAGTATTCCCCACAAGAGAGAGAGAGAGAGAGTATTCCCCACAGAAGAGAGAGAGAGAGAGAGAGTATTCCCCACATGAAGAGAGAGAGAGAGAGAGAGAGTATTCCCCAAGAAGAGAGAGAGAGAGAGAGAGAGAGTATTCCCCACATGAGGAGAGAGAGAGAGAGAGTATTCCCCACAGAGAGAGAGAGAGAGAGAGAGAGAGAGAGAGAGGGAGAGTATTCCCCACATGAGAGAGAGAGAGAGAGAGAGAGTATTCCCCACATGAAGAGAGAGAGAGAGTATTCCCCACATGAGAGAGAGAGAGAGAGAGAGAGTATTCCCCACATGAGAGAGAGAAGAGAGATAGAGAGAGACGAGAGAGAGAGAGAGAGAGGGAGGGAGAGAGAGAGGCAGAGCGAGAGAGAAGAGAGAGAGAGAGTATTCCCCACATGAAGAGAGAGGGAGAGAGAGAGTATTCCCCACATGAAGAGAGAGAGAGAGTATTCCCCACATGAAGAGAGAGAGAGAGAGTATTCCCCACATGAGAGAGAGAGAGAGAGTATTCCCCACATGAGAGAGAGAGAGAGTATTCCCCACATGAGAGAGAGAGTATTCCCCACATGAAGAGAGAGAGAGAGAGTATTCCCCACATGAGAGAGAGAGAGAGAGAGTATTCCCCACATGAAGAGAGAGAGAGAGAGAGAGTATTCCCCACAGAGAGAGAGAGAGAGAGTATTCCCCACATGAAGAGAGAGAGAGAGAGAGAGTATTCCCCACATGAAGAGAGAGAGAGAGTATTCCCCACATGAAGAGAGAGAGAGAGAGAGAGTATTCCCCACATGAAGAGAGATAGAGAGAGACGAGAGAGAGAGAGAGAGAGAGGGAGGGAGAGAGAGAGGCAGAGCGAGAGAGAAGAGAGAGAGAGAGTATTCCCCACATGAAGAGAGAGGGAGAGAGAGAGTATTCCCCACATGAAGAGAGAGAGAGAGTATTCCCCACATGAAGAGAGAGAGAGAGAGTATTCCCCACATGAAGAGAGAGAGAGAGAGTATTCCCCACATGAAGAGAGAGAGAGAGTATTCCCCACATGAAGAGAGAGAGAGAGAGTATTCCCCACATGAAGAGAGAGAGAGAGAGAGAGTATTCCCCACATGAAGAGAGAGAGAGAGAGAGAGTATTCCCCACATGAAGAGAGAGAGAGAGAGTATTCCCCACATGAAGAGAGAGAGAGAGAGAGTATTCCCCACATGAAGAGAGAGAGAGAGAGTATTCCCCACATGAAGAGAGAGAGAGAGTATTCCCCACATGAAGAGAGAGAGAGAGAGAGAGTATTCCCCACATGAAGAGAGATAGAGAGAGACGAGAGAGAGAGAGAGAGAGGGAGGGAGAGAGAGAGGCAGAGCGAGAGAGAAAGAGAGAGAGAGAGTATTCCCCACATGAAGAGAGAGGGAGAGAGAGAGTATTCCCCACATGAAGAGAGAGAGAGAGTATTCCCCACATGAAGAGAGAGAGAGAGAGTATTCCCCACATGAAGAGAGATAGAGAGAGACGGGAGAGAGAGAGAGAGAGGGAGGGAGAGAGAGAGGCAGAGCGAGAGAGAAGAGAGAGAGAGAGTATTCCCCACTTGAAGAGAGAGAGAGAGAGAGAGAGAGTATTCCCCACATGAAGAGAGAGAGAGAGTATTCCCACATGATGTGAGAGAGAGAGTATTCCCCACATGAAGAGAGATAGAGAGAGACGGGAGAGAGAGAGAGAGAGAGGGAGGGAGAGAGAGAGGCAAAGCGAGAGAGAAGAGAGAGAGAGAGAGTATTCCCCACATGAAGAGAGAGAGAGAGTATTCCCCACATGAAGAGAGAGAGAGAGAGTATTCCCCACATGAAGAGAGAGAGAGAGAGTATTCCCCACATGAAGAGAGAGAGAGAGAGTATTCCCCACATGAAGAGAGAGAGAGAGAGTATTCCCCACATGAAGAGAGAGAGAGAGTATTCCCCACATGAAGAGAGAGAGAGAGAGTATTCCCCACATGAAGAGAGAGAGAGAGAGTATTCCCCACATGAAGAGAGAGAGAGAGAGTATTCCCCACATGAAGAGAGAGAGATAACCTTGCCTGCAAGCTGAATTCTCGCGGTATTTGTGAGTTCACAAACACTCGAGAATACATCTTGTACCGCTCCCGCTTACACTTTTCGAGTCGAACCACTGGGTGTGCGAGCCAATCACGCGCCAGTCTGGGGGTTTAGGGCGGGATATCCGGGTTTGACGAAAGCAAGAAGTGCCGGGCCGAAGCAAAACAAACATGGCTACGCAGGAGGACGGACGCAAAGTCAGTTTTAGCAGAATCTCCAATTTCTTTTTTGAAAGATGAACAGCGAGAGGCGCTTTGTACATTTCTGGACGGCAACCTTGGTAGGCGGGCACACAGCGTCACTTCGCCCAATCAGCTTCAAGTATTCTGCTGCTTACCCCTCCTTTCCCCGAAAGGATTCTCCGGGAGAAATCCCAGATTGATATCGCGGAGAACGCGTTAGAGTTCTACACAATCATCAATCTGGCTTTTGCCAGGTTAAGAGAGAGACTCCTGAGGACAACATTTCACAGATTGTTGTGCATTTCTTTGTTGTCCCTTTAGACCCTGGTTTAGACCCTGCTTTAGACCCTGCTTTAGACCCTGGTTTAGACCCTGCTTTAGACCCGGGTTTAGACCCTGGTTTAGACCCTGGTTTAGACCCTGCTTTAGACCCTGGTTTAGACCCTGCTTTAGACCCTGGTTTAGACCCTGGTTTAGACCCTGGTTTAGACCCTGCTTTAGACCCTGCTTTAGACCCTGGCTTAGACCCTGCTTTAGACCCTGCTTTAGACCCTGCTTCACTCAAACACTCAAGGCGACCAAAGTGCTTTACGATAACTTCACATAAAATCTATTAAAACATTTATGCAATCAACCAATAAAACAGTTAAAAGGCATTTGTAAAAAGTGCGATATATAATATCATATTGCACATTCTGACATGATTTGAATTATTATTTCTCATTAATAAATTTACCCACAGAATTAATGCTATCTAATAAAATGGGACATATTCTTAAAGTGAGAGGGATTGGATGCTCCACTTTTCTGGCGTTTCTCGCGGGGAGAGACGGCGAGGTGGGGTGGCCATTCTCATTGCCCCCATCTCAGCTCCACCTGTTGGAGTCTTCCCCGGTGAAGGAAAGGGTCGCGTCCCTCCGCCTTTGAGTGGGGGACAAGTCTCTCACTGTTGTGACGGGAGAGACTTAACATTGAGTCTGAGTGGACCATGTTCTCTTCCTCTATCGCCGATGCTGCAGCTCTTAGCTTGGGGTTGCAAGGTCTCTGGTGCTGGTCCCGGCGGCAACCCCCGAACCCGGTGGTGGACACCGGCAGTAAGGGATGCCGTCAGGCTGAAGAAGGAGTCCTATCGAGCAATGATGGTTCGTGGCACTCCTGAGGCAGCT